CACACACACACACACACACACACACACACACACACAGACTCCTCAGACACAGGACCGGACCATGACAGGTTCAATCTGGCTTGTGACTCCAAGCTGATCTATCATCCAAATAAGTGCTCTCACTTTCAGTGCAAACTGCTTGAGCCCACTATTGTCATCACATGCAAATGTTAAGAGCTTGAATGAGGTCAGCAATTTTTGAGAGAGCTAGCTGGTGAGGTTACCCATACTGCTCGGTGAAACTGCCGATTGTATCAGTAGAAGATTGTACGGGAAATGGTGCGTGAGTCTGCTATAAAAAGTGCCTCCTAATACTGCAGATGATCCAGCAAAATCTATCTGGTACTTAATGCGCTCTGTAGCATCCTCAGGTAGTGGATATTCCAGGGCAACCTTGAGTCTGGCAAATTCTCTGGGCTCCCAACCAGAAAACAAAACATGACCAATACATTGGACAGCTGGTGGAAATGACAGCGGTTGATACTCTGTCATTTTTTCTTTAGAGATTGCTGCCATTGAGCTGGCTCAGATGTCTCTGAAGAATAGGTGTTTGACCACAACAGCAACAGAGGTGCAGTAAGTGGAGTGCAGACATCAGTTCTTCTGTGCATATCCATCACCTGTCGCTGCAGCCTACAATTATCCTCCATCAATCTGCGAAGTACCTCCATAAGCTCAGGTTCAGTTTCCAGTCCAGACCTCCTCCTGGGGAGGTGCAGGTGTACTTTGAAACAGGTGGTCTGTGTGATCAGGCTGACGTGAATATTGAGCTCCAGCTTCTTGTGGTGAATTCCAGTCTTTAGGAGTGAGCGGAGTCATCCTGGCATATCTCTCTGATAGTCTCTCTACACTGTGATGGGGCTGCTGTTGCTCTGATGAGTAATTTACATAGGGAGTTGAGCAGGAAGAGTGATGCGGCTCTGGTAGAGAAACAGCAGTCTCCAAGCAGGTGTCTGAGTCTCTCTGCAGGGACGGACGTCTGCTGGGCGCCTGCCCTTATGCTGATCTGGGAACATCTTCAGACAATTGCACAGTAAGCACGCTATCAAAATCTCAAGGACCAAATGTTGCAGAGGTTTAAGGCAGGGGCGTCCAAACTTTTGTCACTGAGGGCCACATACATAAAAATATGGGGCCACTTACTAGAAATTAGGTATATAACCTTAACTTTAGTGTATTAAAGTTAGAAAAATCACTTA